GATCGATCGACTCATGTCGGTCAGTCACCAAGTCCAACACACCTAAGGCTGAGCGATCGATCGTCGCTAGCACAAGACATAACTAACTCGACGCGCAACGTCGTAGCATATTCGAATAAAAAAGATAGTCGTCAACACAAACATAGCCGACTTGACCGAAAGAAAGATTTGGCGGCAGAACTTGGCCGTCGCACGAAGAGGCCGGACGATCGATCTGGGAAGGGGAGCGATGGATCTTGATTTCTCTGAGAAGAAGAGAATGAAATCGATCGTCCCCCCCCCCTCTTTTTTCGACAAATGTTCGCAAGGCTGGCCAACTAATCGTCATCGTCACGAACGTTTGGGTGACTGACTGTTGTAAGCGCGAACAGATATAAAAATCGTCATCGCTCGGCCAGCAAGTTAGGAAGGCCGGACGATCGATCCTCCAGCAGATATAAAAAAAATAAGTGGAAACTTAGGATTTGCTCATGCATACAAAGATCAGAGTCCAAAAGATCACAACAACAAGAGTACAAGGCTAAGCCCAATCCATAAAGTGCGACATACAAAGGTGCGGAAGACAACTAAAAAAAAAATATGATAAAGGTAAAGCAACAACAACAACAAACGAGTCAAGCACCAGGGTTGTTCGGAGCACCAACCGACTGGTGAGCGGAAGCCTCCGTCGGACCGTCCTCCAACCCCGCAGGCACGTCCTCTCCAGTTCCAGCGGCGGTAACCAACGCCGCGCTTGACGCCCCCGGTAGCAGCACTCCCAACGCCGACTGACGGAGAACGAAGAGAAGCCGCCGTCGCCGAGTCAACTATTCCCACATTCGTCCCGAATTGGTCAAGACCTTGAATCGATCCAGAACGAGGAGGGGACAAGGAGAGATCTCGCTCTGTAATCTACTCCACGTCAACTTCCTCGACCTCACGCTTATACTTTTTCTCGTTAAACGTCAACGCGTCCCTCATCCTCTTCGGCACCTGCAAACCCCACGATTCCAACACATCCAACGATTGCAAAGTCCCGAGAGCTTGACAATGAAGACAAAGCTTCGTTTCAAGCTTGTCCCGATCAGCCGCCGCTATCATGAGGCGTCCCCTCTCCGACGTAACCTCGTGCGTCCTTGTCTGCTTCATGAAGTCTATCACCTTCTTATGTTTTTCAGCCTCCTCGATTTTTTCGTGCTCCAGCTTCGCGATTCTAGTCCGAGCGTTCTCTAGGTCCTCCTCGAGACCATTAGCTCTCTCGGCAGCCTGCTTGCGTTCGCGTTGGTTGCGGTTTCTCTCACCAGCAATCTCCTTTGCCTTCTTCGAGGCGCTCCTTCTCGCCTTTTCCAATTCTGCATCGTTGGCTTTGATCTCTGCTTCAGCTTTGCTAAGGTCAAACGCCATCTTCAGCATAGCGAGTTCGTAATCCAAGACAAGCTGGTTCTTACGAGCAGAAGCCTACAACGACAAGAACAATGGCAGTTAGCATAATCATGAACGATAAAAGAGGGGGGGGACGATCGATCGAACACACATAAGTTGAAAAAGGCCTTACTACTGCATCCGCATGAGCCGACTCGGCAAACTTGGCGGGAAAAGCGAGATCACGAATTTCCAGCATCTCACGCGCACTACCTCGAATGTTACGCGACAGCTCGGCGCACGACCCCGTATCATTGACGAAAGGCGTGTCCTTCTTGTGACGAAAATCCCAACGTTCGGTATCAGCCAGCGGGGGTTTCTTGGCTGGAGGACCTGATCCACCCCAGGGTAGATTACGAGAAAACGGCGGAATTGCCTCCTTAGAAGGACCACTAGTCTGCTGGCTAACCTTTCTCGAGTCCTTCTCAGCGGGACCCTTGGAGGAATCGTCTATCGACCTCTTCCTCTTCACTGATGACGAATTGGTTTTCTCCCCTACAACCGGGTTCTCCTCAGGTAAAGTCACGATGCCGTCAACCTGAGCAACCTCATTAACTCCATCGCTCGAAGGACCCTTGGGAGCAATCTCGGTCTCAACATCCTCAGTCCCGACGTCTTTAATTTCAGTTGAGTCAGCCGTCGCCTTCTTGGACGATTTGTGCTTTCTTTTCTTCTTTTTCGGAAGGGAGTCGGAATCGCGTTCGATCGTTTCGTCCGCTGCCAAGTCCTCTTCCGGACGATCGACGCCCTCACCGAGCGGGACTCCAACTTCTTCGTTACCCGCCTCTAGTGCGGCCGCGGGATCGAAGTTCTCGTCGCCTAGTTGGGCGTTCAGAATCTCGCTAAAGTTGGGATAGACTCGCGGAATTTTCCCCATCAGTGGAAGTGGTAATCTCTTGCCTTTGAACTCAAAGGTATGACCTCGTTCAACATAAAAAGAAAGAAGGAGGGACGATAGAAAAGGGAGAGATGAGAAGAGTTGAGTACCTCGTGAAATTCGATCACGCTGCCGACGAATCCTTTTCCGGTCGAAATCACCCCACACGCTTGGGCTAAGTGCAGCAACCTTCGTAACACCTTCCCAAAATCGCTCGGGATAGTCGATAGAACTGGGATGAGGAACTGCCAAAAACAACAAAGAAAAAGACATTCTGTCAACAATAAACCCCAACAACAGCAGCAAAGAACTGTAAACTACCAATATGGTAGTTCCATGAAGTACGAAATTGATCGATCGGCGGCTCTTCGAAAGCAGCCTCATCCGATTTTATATAAAAGTAAGAACGCTGCCAGTGTTTGGTCTTTGTTGGATGGCCGGATAGGATATGTAACCCAGCGCGCATTTGTAGTGCATACAAATCGCAAGCTTTCGGCTGTATTTGCGTCAACTCCTCAAAAACCCGCCCGCTCATCGAAACGTCCACTTCAGCCGCCATCACCGACAAAGCAACAGCAAATCCGTCACCCCATTCATCAACTGAGACATCGGAACGTCCCGACGGGCACAATACGCAGTAATCAAGCGAGGGATAGGAAACCATAACTTTGAATCCCTTTCAAAGAAAGACTCATAAACGCAATGAAAGCCTACAGGGGGAGTCCATGGACGTTGGTCGGAGCGAGGGACAATAAACGTCACACCGTATGCCCTTCGCCCTCTCAACAGCGTAGCAACGCTCTTCTCGGTAGACCATGTAGGCGAAACGTTAGCCCAATCCTGCCCCTTTATCTTGGATGGTCGGACTTGCCTTGAAGGGATATCCGGTAACTGTTGAACCACACCAGTTGAGTGATAATGATAAGGAATCGACCGCCGATTCGTCGCAGACTCCATTGACGATCGCTCGGCTTCTTCACACCCAATCGCACGACGATCGATATCACCTACAGCAACCAAAGACCACTTAACTCCATTGAGGCCGATAGGGGATCGATTGACATCGTCTCCCACCGCGCCGTCGACTCCCGGATCTCCCGACATGAAGTCGTCTGCGGCAGCCGGAGGTCCCTCGATCGCGCCTTCGCCGACTGGAGATCGATCGGCTTCGCTCGAACTTCGCGAATCTCCATCCGACTCCTCCTCCGATTCCGATGCTTCGGCGGGGTCATCCAAACACTGCCCGCTTCCATCTTCCCGAGAAAAGTCATCAATCCCATCTATTCGATTGGAATTCGGGTGAGCGACATCAACGCCATTGCCACGGTGAACTCCGGTCGACAAGCCCTGAAGCGCGGGATCGAGCGGCAGCTCACTCGACGGGTTCGGAGTGGATCCAACCCCTTTACCCTTTTCGCCCGGCGTAAATCTCTTCCTCGGAGTGCTCATCGATCGCTCGGCCAGCGCGAAACCCTAAATCTATTCCCGGCGTCCGAGCGGCTAATCCTCGGCGGCAAAGCAGCAAGTCTCCGGTGGCGAGCTGCGAACTCCCCGGCGGCCGACAGAATTTCCCGGCAGCGAACGATGGAGGTTCTTGTTTAGGTCTTTTTAAATTAAAGAAAGTGAAGAGGAGATAAGAGAGAGAGGGGAAAGAAAGAAGAATACCTTAAGGATGGAGAAGAATAAAAAGATGGGGGAAGAGTATTGTATTTATAGTGGGACTCACGAAGATCGAGGTCAGAAAGTTCATTAAAACCTAATGGGCCTAGAATACCCATTAGCGCTTCCGCTCAAACGATCATCCTTGCACTCGAAAAATAAAACGAGACGAGAGATCAACCCAGACTAAGCCGGTGATGATCGACCCAAAGAGTGACCAGTCGAACGAACGGATGAAGGGAGAAAGAAGAAAATCGGCCGTCCAGCCATAAACACGAGCAACCTAAGCCTAATATTCCCAGAACCAACTCGTCACAATCCACTTCTAAGAAATTAAATTCCTTGCAAGCGAACTAGGGGGGACTTACTGTTGGAGAGGGATTGAACACCCCTCCACAAGGCCCATCGAATAACAGGCTCCAGCCCATTTACGATTGGTCTGGTAAGAGCCCGACTGAAAGAAGAGGTCAAACCGAAAATCGATCGACCGGTTTACTCATTTTAAAAGCCCAACAAGTTCGGAAGCCCATCGATCTTAGGCCTTTCGAACTAACTTAGGGCGAACGAAGACGAGAACGAACTTAGTAGTATAAAAGGACGACATAGGTCAGAGAGAAGAGGGATCCGAAAATTGAGACAAGAACACTGACGGCGGGATTTAGGGTTTTACCATCGATCGAACCTCTTTGTAACCTGGCCGGACTTTCATAAAGGTCCGACCTTTGTTCTTTTCTTGAATCTCTCTGTAACCTTCTCTTATTATCAACTCTGATTAATAAAACGCATTCGAAGAACCCACAAATCGAGTTTAGTTTTCTAGTCAATCGACCGTACAAAACTCAGATTCAACAGTTTTTTGGACAGTCCTAGCTGAATGTGAGACAGTTTCGGCTTCCACCTTTTTCTCCCGCCAATTGATTTACAATAAATTAGGGTTTTTGAAGCTTATCGTCTCCGGTTCTGCATCTCCCAGGTGAATGAATCTCTCGCGAGTTATAAGTTATAATCTAATAGCTCTCGAAAATCATCTCTTAATATATTTTAGTTTACGCCCAATTGCAGAATGGCTGAAGAAGCAGATGCTCTTTCTCAATTTGGTATATCGAAGGAGGTACTGTTACACTTCTCTTCCTATTTATTTCTATAGGAGCTTGTCTCGTTTGAAAAGGATTTGAAATCTGAAAATTAGGAAACGGATAAGCTTGTTTCGGAGGTGATTAGATTCATACTCTTCAAGTCCCATCAAAACTCAGGATGCCCAATTAAAAGAGAAGATTTGACTCAGATTGTTACCAAGAACTATCGTCAGCGAAACCTCGCCACTTCCGTGATCAGCGAAGCTAAGACCAAGCTCTCTACTGTGTTTGGTTATGATTTGAAAGAGCTTCAACGCTCCAGGACTTCTTCTAATGCTCAAACAAGGCTTCCTCAGTCACAGAGTAAGACATTGGTTGATAAAAGTAGCGACTTTTTGATATATTTATAGCTAAAATGTTGTTTTTCAAGGTAATGCTGCTGACTCGAAATCGTATGTGCTTGTGAGTCAATTGCCGATTGAAGTGTTTAGGAAACATGTGGTTGAAGAAACAACAAGTCCTATGACTGGCTTTACGTTTGCTGTTCTTGCTGTTGTGCAGCTTGCAGGAGGGAAAATACCTGAAGGTATGTATGTTTTGGTTCCGTGTAAATACTCTATGCTTCTGATGTGTCCTTGTCTTGCATTTGTTCCCATGTAAAAGGGATTTAACTAGCTGTTAATTCAGTATGAGATTATGAATGTTGGCCTCTTTCAATAGAAACCCTTTGGCATCATTTGAGGAGAATGGGACTGCACGAAAGTGATGAGCATAATCCTGTGTTTGGGAACAACAAGCAAGCTTTAGAGACCTTAGTCCAACAAAGGTGAGACTCTTCTTTAATATGAGGCATACTCTGTAAAGAACATCGACTGGGGCAAAGATATTATTGATTTTCCTAGTTCTTTCTCCTCAAAATGCTTTGTCATTTGGACAGGTTCTTGCAGAAGGATAAAGTAAGTGGCCCAGAGGGTAGTACTCTGTTCTACGATCTTGCTGAGAGAGCTTTAGATGCGCAAGTTAGCGAGAGAGTAAAAGATTATATTTCACAGGTAATGCAAAAAGAACAAACACCTTCTTTGTGGATGCTAATCATGTCACTCAGATTTGATTAAAATTTTGGTTTGTGTTGTTAAATTGTAGATCCTGAAGAATGACATCTCTGTTGTAGAGCTCGACTGATTAGTGGAAAATTAAGGCTTAGAGACCAACCAAATAGAGTGGTACAAGTCTTTGGCTTATGTATTTTTAAGATCCCTTTGATTTATTCAATGTGAAACTGCTTAAGGATACAAAAACTTGGATACAATATTGCAGAAAAATCACGAACCGACTTATATAATATTTGCCATCTGACTGACTTTTGCTACAAAATATTTAGATATGAATTAACCCCTCTTCCGAGAGACTGGTGAGTATACAGGAAAGAAACAACTTTATCCTCAAAAGACAGGGAAGAGACAACTTTATCCTGCGAAGCTGTAACATATGCCTGATTCAGCCAAACATTTTAGCTGATTACATTTACTATCTTTTAGAAGTTTGAAGTCACTGAGAAGCTGAAATTCCCCTGTTTGATGAGCTCGAGTCCCCAATGGAGACAGTGGCCAAAGACTTGGAGGCCCATGCTCTAGCGTTCATGGCTCCTCCCTGCAGATTGCTCCTCTTGCAAGGCTCTTTAAGATACATGCATAGTTGTACAGTTCGGCTCAGAAATCCGACGGTATGTTCTTGCAAGCTTTCTAGTCTCATGTTTTGAGCAATCTGTCGCCAAGTAAACTTGGCAAACACAAACAGCGTAGGGAAAACGAAATAGAGCAATCTCAACACTACGAATACAATAGCAAGAGTTAGATAGGTTTCTTGTCGAAGCATATTCTCAGGCGATCTTGCCCATGTGAAAGGGCAGTTCTCTGGCTCAGTGTTGTTTTCATTCCCGAGATGGGGAACCAATAAGCTTTTTTCGAGAGAAGTCTTTTCCAGTGTTTCAATGCCTACAAAAGTCCTTGTTATTTATTTTTTAATGAAAGAATATATAAACAGCTACTAGCAGGATCACAATAGCAACAATGTTTTACCATCTGACTATTTTGTAACTTGTGAACCTCATGGCGAAAAACAACTATCAACATGAGGGTAAACACAGAAGAGAGAGAGAGTGCTACCGGAACATCTGTAAGAAGAAACATCTTACCAGTAACATCTCTGTAGAAAGCAACAAGAGAATCAAGTATTCTGGTCCCTCGGTATCGTGCCCGCATAGTTGAATTCATAAGTAAGAGAGTAGGAAACCCATGAACGCCATACTTAGAGAGAGTACTGCAGCACAACAAGCCATTAAAAAGACCATGTTAACATAAACAAGTCCCAAAAATTCTGAACCAGCTTAAGGATTGTGAGTTTATTAACCAACCTTGGCTTAACGGATGTGTCTTTAATTGCAAAGTGAGGAATTGAGGAGTAGAGAGAAGAGATGACATCAAAACTCGGTCTAAAAGACCTTGAGAAAGGACACCATGATGCATAGAAGAACAAAGCCACATAGTCACACTTGTTCTTATGAATCATATCCAAAGCAATTTGCAACCAACGGTCATCACCCTTCACCAGAAGCAAAAAAAAAACATTCAAATTCAGAAACTTATCAGCACTTGATTACATTGACAATACATACGAGGTTCTGAAGAATCCAAACTCGATTTTTTCAATTAACTGCGTAATACGAGGTGATAAAGATATAAATTTCTTCACCTCGGTGACGGTAACGAAATTAGGGCGCTCAGCTAATTCATTATCAGAAACTGTACAAGACTGATCTTGAAACCCTAAGGTGTAATCTTTAACAGACCTCATAGCACAAATCGGAACCCTAACGGATACGCTGTCGACGGCAGTGAACGTTAAATTCCCAAAAAGAATCACCAACAGCAACAAAAAGATCCCTTTTTCCATTAATGAAATTCTAATTGATACCCAGAAGCTCCGCTCCGCAGCGAGAATCACAGAATTCCAAAAAAAATAAATGCTGCAGAATTACGCTGAGAAGTCGACTTCTATGCCGTTTTGAATCGAATCGAATCAAATGGTTGGTTTGGCAGAGATAATTTGTGATGGGAGAGGTATCGGGAGGATATCAATAGAAAATGAGCTGCTGTGGTTGCTGGGCACTTGAGATTTTGCTCGTAGGAACAAAGCAAAGCCTTTTTCTATTTTTCTTTTTTAGAATGTCTATGACCAATTTTTTTTTTTTTTTTGGTCAGCGTAAGAAACCTAAAATAATATAAACCGGAAATGTATGTGTTCTGATATCGATTTTAATTTCTGCTTCGGTTAAGGGTTTGCATTCCCTTTTCTAATCAACAGATTTAGAAAAATAATTTATGAGTGCTGTTCAATTATTTGAGTTCAGTCTTTTTAAAAAAATTTCAACTAAAATTTATTATTCTAAAACTATATTTTAACAACTGAGACAATAGACTGAATTCTTACTCCAAAAATCTGAATCGAATCTTATATGCTAAAAATAATCTGAACCATATGTATCTTATTACCTTACAATATTTGGAGTTATGGATATTATATGAGCCTATTCCGAATCCAATAGGTATCCAAAACAATCAGAAATTTTCAAAAATCTAAACAAAAGTTCAAACCAAACTTGAGTTTACTCCCAAATAAATATCTAAAGTACTCTAGGATACTATTGATTACATAAAACAAGCATATATTATATGAATAATTAACTTAAATATCTTGTTAAATATATATATATATATTTTCCGCCACCTGAATTTGAAATCCGGCTACGGGGAGATTTACATGTGGACCTTCCAGTGACCTAGACCGAAGACCGTTCACAGTGAGTAACATGGTGACGTTCTGACAATGTACTTTCTCGCTTCGGTCTCTAGTCTGGACCACCTTGATGGGACCAAGACACTCGGTTATCAATATATATATATATATGGTATCTAGTCAAATAGTGATATTTTATATTTTATATTTTGAAGATTTTAAGTTCGTAAAAACCGCACCGTTTTGCTAACTGTGTGGAAAGGCGATAGGAATGGCGATCAAGGTTCTCAAATCTCCGTTGTCATCACCGACAGTAGGAGATGGATTCGACGGCGGGTCAGGGTGATCCTCCGGTTCCGGTAAAGCAGACGTCATGGGTTGCGGTAGCGAAGGAGAATAAGGTCTTGAAGAAGTACGATCTGGACATCTCAGGTTCAAAAGGGAATCAATCAGTTGAAGTACCATCAGAGATAGTTGAAGAAGCAACTCCGCTATGGGAAGATTTCGCGATCGCTCGGTTTACGGAAACGGCTCCACAAGTAGCAAAGGTACATGTGATTCTCAACAAAATCTGGAAATTTATGGACAAGATGCAAAAGATCGATGTGTATGAGATGGATCCGGTAACGATGAGGATTAGGGTTCCGAATGAAGCGATAAGGGAGACGATCATAAGAAGAGGTATGTAGAACATTGTGGTGGTTTCGATGGTTGTTTCTAAATGGTCACCACTAGAGGATGAATCAACATCGAAGCTAACTCCACTGTGGGTGCATTTAACAAAGGTTCCGATGAATATGTATTCATGGGAAGGGTTTAGCTTCATCGTAAGTGCATCAAAGATACCAGATAAGCTGCATCCAGAGACAATTGTGTGTACAAACTTTGAAGTGGCGAAGGGATGTGTTAAAGCAGACTTGTCGAAGCAGTTACCAGAGAAGATGAAATTTACTATACAAGGCGTGGAAGTCACAGTTAAATACACATACCCATGGCTACCTACAAAATGTACTACATGTGGGAAATGGGGCCACTCTAGAAAGGTATGTTCGGGTAACAAGATAAATACTGAGGAGAAGAAGGAAACGCAAGAATCATCAAAAACAGAGGTACAAGAAATAGAAAAGGAGAAGATTAATGTAGAGGAAAACAAAATGGAGGAAGAAAAGAATGTTGTATTGGAAGTAAGGGAGGAAGTAATTACTGAACCTTGGAGGAAAGTTTCTCCAGAAAAGGTGGGAAGGAGTCCAATGAAAAGTTTTCAGGAGATTCAAGATGAACAGGAAAAAATAATTACCCCTTCAAGGTTTGCTGCTTTAAGTATTCCGGAAGAAGTGAATGAGGAGGAAGATGATAAGCAGGAGGATGAGCTGGATGAAGAGAGTGAAATGTTTAAGGAGAAGAGTGAAACGTTTAAAGAGAAGAGTGAAACGTATCAGGAGGAGGAGTTAATGGAAAATAGAAAAAGAGGAAGACCAATACTCCCCAGAAGCTCAAAGAAAAAATAGAAAGCTCTTTCGGTAGCTTCAAATCATAATTTAAAAAAGGGCTCCCAAAGAAATTTGTAAATATCTGGATTTTTCTGGAACATAAGGGGCTTTAATAAAAATACTAAGCAATGGATTGTTCGAAGTTGGGTAAGAAATCAGAGTATGCAGTTAGGATGTTTGATAGAGACAAGGGTAAAGGAAAAGAAATCAGAGAAGATAATTTCAGAGGTTTTTCAAGGATGGGACAGTATATGTAATTATGAATCACACAGATTGCGGAGATTGTGGGTTGTTTGGGGGCCACTGATGAGGATGACTCCAGTTTATAAGAGCAGTCAGATCATTACATGTTCGGTGTTAGTCAGAGGTAATGGTGAAGAATTATTTTCTTCCTTTGTTTATGCATTAAATGGGGAAGAGGAGATAAATAGTCTTTGGGGAGAGTTGAAGGCGCATCATGATGCTCCTATGTTTAAGAATAAGAGATGGATGATAATGGGGGATTTTAAGCGAGATTTTGGAAGAAGAGGAGCACTCAGATTATGAAGTTGTTCCGAGAATACCACCTGGTATAAGGGATTTTTAAGAGGTTGTTAGACATTGTAGTTTAACTGATATGAGATACCAAGGTCTGAAAATTCACCTGGTGTTATAAGAGGGAGGATGGATTAATATGTAAGAAGTTGGATTGTGTTTTGGTAAATGAAGAAAGGCTTCATGCTTCAAAAGCGTATTGCGTTTTTGAATCAGGAGGGTGCTCGGATCATTTATTGTGTAGAATCCAACTGGGAGTTGAGGAGAAAAAGGGTGTTCTGAGGGTGTTAGGACTAGATTCTTTTCCTCACATCTCTTCAAGACCTTGCATAGGTTGTCGAGACAATTTTCAAAACTCGATCCATAAACTGAGAAATCATCCATGAATACTTCCATGAAGTTTTTTATCAATATCAGTGAAGATTGACATCATGCAGCGCTGAAAAGTATCTGGCACATTACACAGACCCAATGGCATCCTCCAATATGCGAAGGTTCCATAGCAGCATGTGAATGTTGTTTTTTCTTGATCATCCGGATGTATCGGGATTTGGAAAAATCCGGAATACCCATTAAGAAAACAATAGTATTGGTGATTTGCTAATCTTTCCAACATTTGGTCAATAAAAGGTAGAGGAAAGTGAATAAGTGATCTTTCCGGGTTGCGGAATTCAGCTTCCTATAATCGATACACATGCGGTGTCCGGTCACAGTCCTTGTTTGGATAAGCTCATCTTTTCCGTTGTTGACGACTGTAATACCTCCCTTTTTGGGTACTACGTGGACCGGGCTTACCCAATTGCTATCATAAATTGGATAGATTATCCCTGCATCAAGCAGTTTGATGATTTCCTTCTTCACGACTTCCTGGAGATTTGGGTTTAGTCATCTCTGATGCTCTATAGATGACTTGGATTCGTCCTCCAGATGGATCCGGTGCATATAAAGGTCAGGCGAGATGCCTGGGAAGTCATCTGAAGAGTATCCAAGTGCTTTCCTATGCTTGCGAAGTTTGTTCAGTATTAGAGCAAGTTCCCCATTAGTGAGATTTTTGTTAACTATCACAGGATAAGAATTCTCCATAAGAAAAGCATACTTGAGCCCAGCGAGTATTGGTTTAACCTCCACATCTGGTACTTTTTCTTTTGTGAGATTCCCAAATGACGATCGATATTAGTATTCAGATATCGATCGATATCGATCTTTGATTCATCGTCGCTTTTGGTTACGATACCTGAGGATCCATGACCAGTTTCCATGAGACGATCGCACTCGTCTGCTCTGTTATCTATGCTGAAAACTTCGTTCTGAGCAAGTACAAGCTCATTTTCCAAATGATCATCCGAGTACGATTTCTCAAAAGATTCTTGGGTCAGCTCATCAATCTCATCCATATAAGATGATTGTTTATCTATCAAAGGAAGTGTGATGATTTTTTCCATATCAAATCTCATAGGGATGTTGCCTATGTTAAGATTTATTCGTCCTTCCTTGACATCGATAATAGCGTTTGCAGTAGCAAAGAATGGTCTACCTAATAGAATCGGATCCCTTGGTTCGTTCTTGTAATGCATCACAACAAAATCTGTTGGGACAACACATCCATCGATTTTTACAGGTACGCCTTCAAGTACTCCTTCCGGGATCCTAACAGATCTATCGGCGAGAACAAATTGGATGTTGGCTGGTGTAAATTCAGTGTACCCAAGGAATGTTGCAACGGAGTGCGGCATTAAATTTACGCTAGAGCCTAGATCACAGAGTGCACTCGGAAATAGCTGATCTCGAATTGTGCATCTGAGAACGAAACTACCAGGATCGGGTCTTTTTTCTGGGGTTTCGCTCTGAATTATTGCGTTAACCTCTGCAGAAACCATCATGACACTGCGTTTCTCTGTTGAAAAACTCTTGGTTGTCATTCCCTTGACATACTGTCTTATTGTTGATGAAATCCTGAGGGCGTCAATAAGTGGCATCTCCACTTTAACTTGTTCGAAGGCTCGTCTACAAATTTCATTTTCTATGTTGTGCTTAGTATTAGATTTGGGAGGGTAGGGAGGTAAAGTGTTGTACACCCGTTCTATAGTTGGTCCAGTGGGTGTTGAATTCTCTTTCGAATTCGTGGGGGTTTGT